AATAAGATAGTGCATATATTGTGAGACTAATTATTATTAGCCCTTTTCAGTAGTACATTGTCTGGGGAGGGCTTCCCCTTTTATTACAAAAAAGGGACATTGGTATTAGGAAACGCATCCGTGGAACTAAGAAAGCATGCATTGTTACTATTTCTGTACTCATTTTGTTCTGATCACCCCTTATTTTATAAACATAAGCAATAACAATATAACAGTTGTGTACCTCATTAACTTGATCACAAAGAACAAAGCCACAGGCATGTGTTCCTCTCACCCATAGCTGAAGTGGACTCAGATTATTTTCAGTCCTGAGGGGATGTCTTGACCATGCATTTTTCCAGTTTGAAAGGTACTCATTAATGTTGGCATGTAGGTGTAATGAAGACACCAAAGATGAATACAATCAGTTGGATCCAAAATGTCAATTGATTCCAGATAATAAAATAAATTGTAGAACAACCCCAGGCACCCTTGGAAAACATCWCGCCAAAGTCTTTCAATTCTTTGGTTGTGGGTACTTTTAATTACCTATTGGAGAATCTTGCGTAAGATGGAATAATAGTGCCTGATTTATAATATAAATATTTTTTATATAAAAATGCTTGTAATAATCTAAAACGCTGAAACAATACAAGGAAGGGAAGTCATTTTGACGATAACCAGTAAATATTTGATTATATAGAATTGAAGTGTTTGGACTCGAACGAAAAGACACATGGTTCGCTGCCACTCTAAGTTTAGATTTTTCTTAAAATGTTCCAAATTAGTCATACCTCTCAAGAATATATATAACCTTTTTCTAAATAATATAATAATAATAATAATAATAATATAATATAATTGATAATCCTATTTATATAGCGCTTATCCAATTCTGTTCTAAGCGCTTTAAAACTACATGACAACTACAAAACACATGAGAGTCTTGGTAGACTGTGAGCTTGAGTTGGCGCCTCTGGCTGCCGCTGCACAGTCCGTCCCAAGATCTTAAACTAAAAATTAAAGTACAACAATCAGATTTACATCACAATAAACAAGTGTTTTTGCATGATGCCCGGTGGCTTAATCAAGCTCATTCGCGCTTTGACAGGTTTTGTTTTTAGTCCTGCTGGGTGTCATGCCACCCTCCTCACCAGTGTAGACTGGTGGGGGTGCCGGTTTAGACGCCGACGACCCATCCATGAGGCAGGTTGTACTGGGTTACAATGTTACCAGTAGCAGACTACATAAATATATTGGCACAGGTAAACCTACCAGCAATGATACTTCCTCGATCAGAACCACTGTGTGGATGATTGAGCATATACCATGCTACATCATAATTCTCACCCCCTTTATCACATCTAACTCTTGAAGGGATACCAAATTCGATCACTGCCTTTTYAAAAAGGGACAACACTGTTTCTGCTCTGCTGTTATTGGAAGCATGCAAGTAAGTAGGTAATCGGGAATAGCCATCTATTCCACCATGAACGACAATTGGCCATCTATAAAAATAAAAACATTTTATTCCAAAATTTCTGATTATCGCGAGAATACAATAATTTTTTAACCAAATGATACCTTATTAATTTGTGGTTGCCATCAATGTGCCATAATGATTGTGGGGCATAATTGTAAACCCTTCGTTGAATTGACTGACTCCATCTTTGAAGAACACCACTAGGATCTGTTCTTGCAAGACTTAGTCTTATTTTTTCCCTCTGAAGTTTTAGGCCTTGACATTCTAAATGGCCTTTTAGCATCCTAAGCCCAACACCTGGATGTGACTGTTGGATTCTACTAACAGCTTCATCAAGAGTATCATTATCAATTCTACTGTATTTTTCTTTGAAAAGAAAAAAGAAAAAGACATGTCTGGGGTATTACATTATATTATGCCATTTATTAGATTTCTCAACGAAAGAACTTACTGGTTTAATAAGAGCTTGTTTTACCTGAAATTTTAATACCAAAAGAAGCAAGTCTCCTTTCAATTGTTCTCAACGATACTCCAAGAAGGAGACTGATTTGCGGTACAGTAAAATCAGTTTCAACCAAGAACTCCAGCTGCTCCTTTTTAATATCGAAGGAGGGACGCCCCGGACGATTATTATTGATAAGTGGAACACTACAAGCGCTTGAATCGGACTCGTTGCAGTACTGTTCTAACAACGTGACAGCTGAGGAAATGTGGTTTGAACCTCTGACAGCCTTCAAATCTATATAATAAATTTAAAGGTTACTTTCAAATGAAATATAATTATATTATATCATTTTTACTGACAACACTGCATTAAGTCATGCTGCAAAAATATCTTGATTTTACCTCATAACTGTACTGGTATTTGTATTTAATGTTAATTCTACAAATTAATTTCAAAATGAGTCCAGAAACAACCATTTTGTTTCAGGTACAGAGCATGTTTGTAAGTTTGTAAGCTGTGGTAGAAATGAGAGTTTCAACTACCTAGTGATGTCGTTACAAGGGGTGAATTTAGCTGAGTTGAGGAGAAGTCAACCTAAAGGAGTTTTCTCTACTAGTACTACTATTAGAATTGGTGTTCAGATACTGAAGTCTGTCAAGTCTATTCATGAGGCTGGCTTCTTGCACAGAGATATTAAACCTGTAAGTATAATTAACTATACTTTCATGGAAGAAACAGATATTAGAAGATAGAAGATATTACATGGTCCAGCAGAGATACGTGGATTTTATCTTTGAGTTTTGAAAAGATCTCTCACGAGTGAGCGTAGAGGACCAGTGAGAGATTTTCAACAAGAGAAGATAAAATTTCGTGAGTGACTATGTACATGTAATATTCTGTTAAAAATTATTTAATATAAGCAAATTATTTTGTAAAATACCTTTCTTACTTCCAATTGAGAAATCTCAACTTTTTGAAAGAAAAAAA